GTCCCTCTTTCCCCAGCCTCCTGAGAGATACTAGAGGACTCCGGGGGGCGATGAATGGTGGCTTGGCTGCTGGGCCCCAGGACTGCCTGAAAGACCAGCCTCAAGGCTTAGAGAGACTCTTTGTCCACAGTTTGACCAATAGGCCCGAGTGAAGCCTGCTACACTCCTCTAGGTTAAAGTCTCTTTGTTATGTGTTTGTACAGCACCTCTCTTGGGCCCCTCAGTGTTAACACAATACAAATAACTGCTAATACAATTTTTTCTGCTTGGTGGAATGGTATTGTACTGACAACTTTAAGGTGTCTATAGTGGACATTATGTAGGCTGGAAGCTCTCTACTATACATGGAAAATCAATGCTTTACCTGTTGTTGCATTCTCCAGTAATGGTCCGGTAAATGCTACTCTTCGGGCACTTAATGGAACGAATCTGATAGTCACAACCAGTTGCCTTGGAAATAATTTCCTTCTGCTTCCTACTTAGTACATCTGCAAGAGAAGCCAATCAGAGTGAAGCCATTTCCGTCATAATTTCTGGAACAGTCGGCAATAGTTCCATTTCATGGCTCCCCCAGTAGGAAAGCTCTACAGACAAATAGCATCTCATTTAAAAAACTCCTTCTAGTTTATACCAATAGAATACACCAGCTTTCCTGCAGGATAAAGGCCAGCTTCATATTCAGGAACACACTCAGTATTTCGTGTTCTAGGAATCATTTTGTTTGCCATCTTCATCTCTCAGCAGTTTTGGAGCATCTGAAGTGGAGGACAGGTATCGGGACTGATTCAAAAGTGCTAATGACAAAATCCCTACATTTAGTATGCCTGCCTGATTCAAATACTGATGAGATAAAGTTCCTTTTGGGGGGTTTAAAATGTATGGTATTTTCAATGACTATGGTTGTGACGTTGCACTCTATATGATTTTATGAAAATATGCTAATGTAACTGGAATATGCTTCATGCAAAAGATCTCTTGTAAGGTATCATTACAAAGTTTATAATCTACTGAGCATGGTCATCCTATTTGTATAAATGTATCATTCTTGTATCTGAAACTAGAAATATGAAATATAACCCTGAGGTCCTATTGTAATTATGCAAAGTGTGGGCCATTAATGTTGTTTTGGAATCTTGATGACTTCCATGAACCAGGACAATTGATTGCAGATGGCTGTGTTTTACCTGTAAATCTTTCTGTATACGTGTGTGCTGGCAAGTGGGTAATGAAGTCTTAAGTGACATGTGATCATGTCACCTGAACTGGAATCCATCTTTAACAATTTATGAGTATACAGGGTAAAACGGATTTATTTGGGGTGTGGACCCCATTGGGACTTGGACATCTGAGTGTTACAGACAGGAACACTTCTGTAAGTGGCTTTCAGTCAAGCCTACAGCTGTTAGGGGACGTGGTTCAGACCCTGGGTCTGGGTTTGCAGCAGGCTAGCGGGTCTGGCTCAAACCAGGCAGGGCACTGAAGTCCTAAGCTGCCAGGGCAGGAAAGCAGGGGCAGAAGTAGTCTTGGCACATCAGTTGGCAGCCCCAAGGGGGTTTGTGTGATTCAACCCATCACAATGGTGACATAATTTGAGCATAGGTTGAGGGGTCTATGTAGGTACGAAGCAATGTGAGGATTAAAAGAATGATGGAGCAAGAGAAGAGGAAGCACGGTGGTAGGGACAGAACATAATATTAATATGGGAGGTATTGCAAACTTGGAAAGAAGAAAGCAATAACAAGGACATTGAGAGTCGAGAAGCAAGGGGCCACACCAGGGTGTTTGTTTCTCAGTAGAACTCCCTGCAGATTTCAGGGTACTGTACTGCACTAGCAAATTATCATCACAAAACTGGAGTGAGACAGAAGGAACTTTAGAGAAGAGCAGCTAATCCAGCCAGTGGGCAGTAGGGACTAACTTCTGGCCAGGAGGAGCTAGGGGGAAAATGGAAATGGTGGGAGCTGGAACATCTGGGACACTTATACTAGACTGGACAATGAAGTAGCACATGTCCAGCTGGGAACAGCCCTGATGGGAAGGTGAGTAGATGAGCTAAGAGGTGGGTTCCTTTACCAGGATTTGTGATTGTGGCAGCACTCAACATATTTTGTCATTAAGGGGTTTCATGCCACACCTGGCTCATCAGGAGTTTGGATCCTGGGTATATTGGCCTAGAGCAGAACCACTACTTCACTCTCCTGCCATTGACAGAGCTGCTGCTAATTAGCCATATACAGTCTTATGTGCACAGTACCTGTGATATTAAACTCTCCTTTCACCACGCGACGCAACTTCTTCTTCAGGAGGCTCAGGGTGGTTTCCATGTAATCGGCAACTCGGATTGCAGACCTTGTTCCTGCCACTGGCTCCTTTAAATGTCTCAGGATATCTGAGGGGCTGATGTCCTTTTTCCGGAATGCCGCCTTTGCTCTGGAAAAAAAGGACTCCTGAAGTGGTGCACCAGCCACTGCTGTCCACAGCCCAGCCCTCTAAAATGAGACCTGCATTGGTGTGTGGGAATTAAGTCCAGGCCCAAACAATTGAGGAGACGAGCTGCAGCTGCCAGGTCTACACTGACCTTTCCTACACTCTGACCAGCAGCCTCAGGGTTCCCAGGTCAGCGCTGTAAGGGACACGCCGGTCCGGTCTGTAACCCTGCTTGGCAAACATTTGCTATTTTCTGTAAACAATTCAACTTTGTGCTCTGCTTCTTCGTATACAGAATCATACTAATTTATATGACGTTATAGGTGCTTGGGTTTGTGAATTGCCTGCTAGGTGTGAAGGTAGTGGATCTCATGAGACCTCTAGAGAGCCTTATAGTTAGTGCTGGGGAGGAGCCAGTGGTTGTGGTACGTGTAGGTACCAATGAGATAGGGAAAGGTAGGACAGAGGTCCTGGAGGCCAAATGTAGGCTGCTAGGGAAGACACTAAAGCACAGCACCTCCATGGGAGCATTCTCTGAAATGCTTCCAGTTCCACGCACAGGGCCATTGAAGCCGGGAGAACTGCGAGGTCTCAATCTGTGGATGAGACGATGGTGGAGGGAAGAGGAATTAGGTTTATTAAGAACTGGGGAAACTTGGGGAAAGGAGGAGCCTGTACAAGAGGGATGGGCTTAACCATAACCAAAATGGAACCAGACACCGGGCACATAACATTCAAAAGGTTGTAGAGGATTTTTTAATTTAAGGTCTGGGGCAAAGCTGCCAGGTGTGGGGCAGCACGTGGTTCGGATGGAGACATCCCTTAGGGATAAATTTATTTAAGAGGGAACTCTAGATCCTACTATGAAGGGTAGGAAAGAAGTTGGTAAAGCACAGGTGGGAGCCAGTGAGGAACAGTCACACGTAAAATAATCCCATTTAAACATACCCCACTACGTCATGTGTCTGACGAAGTGGGTATTCACCCATGAAAGCTTATATTCCAATACATCTGTTAGTCTATAAGGTGCCACAGGACACTTAGTCACTTTTTACATAAAGGAAAGCAACTGAATATTGACAAAATGCACAAGTGCTTATAACCAAATGCTAAATATCTCAATATTAGGATGGGTGAACTAGGGTGTCTGGCATTAAATGAGGATATTGATATAGTAGGTATTATAGAAACTTGGTAGAATGAGGATAATCAATGGGACATGGCAATATTGGGGGGAAATGTACAGGAATGACACCGTAGGTCACGTTGGTGAGGGAGTGGCACTATATGTTAAAAAAAGCAGAGTCAAATAAAGTGAAAATCTTAAATGAATTAAACTGTACCACAGAATCTGTATGAGTGGAAATTCCATGTTAATACTGCCAACCACCTGACCCAGATGGTGAAATGCTAAGGGAGGTTAGAGAGGCTACAAAACCAGAAAACACAATAATAATGGGTGATTTCACCTCTCCTCCTATTGACCGGGTACATGTCAAACCTCAGGGCATATGCAGAGATAAAACTTCTAAACACCAGCAGTGCCTGCTTCTTGGAGCATGTAGTCCTGGGACCCACAAGGGGAGAGGCAGTTCTTGATTTAGTCCTACGTGGAGCTCAGGATCTGGTCCAAGTGGTAGTTATAGCTCAACTGTGTGGTGATAGTGACCATAATGTAATTACATTTAACATCATTGTAGGGGGGAATGAACCAAAATCCACCACAGGAAGATGTAAGTTTATAAATGGGAACTACATAAGAATGAGGATGCCAGTTAGATAGAAATTCAAAAGCAGTCACAGGCTAAAATGCCTGCAAGCAGCTGTAGGCCTTGCTGGAGCCCTAGGCCTCACTCACTTTAAAAGCCAGAGGCAGAGCGACCAGGGGAGCGGAGCGGACAGGGGGCTGCAGGCAGGGGAGCGGAGCGACCAGGGGAGCGGAGCAGACAGGGGGCTGCAGGCAGGGGAGCGGAGCGACCAGGGAGCGGAGCGACCAGGAGGCTGCAGGCAGGGGAGCAGAGCGACCAGGTGGCTGCAGACAGGGGGCTGCAGACAGGGGAGTTTGAGAGGGAGTTTGACAGAAGGAGGCCTACGCTGGTTAGGAAGAACCGCAACACCTGTGCCAGCACTGCTTCTGTCTCCTCCACCTGTGCCTGTAGCCAGACAGAGCGCCTGAGCATGGATGCTCCTACCCAGATCCTGGTGTGGTTTTGCAGAGACGGTGACTTGCAATTTCCACTTACTGATATCCAGGCTGGGAGGGACCATCCAATGTGAGAGGTGCCTGCTGGTGGAATCTCTCAGGCAGCAGGTGGGGAAGCTACAGGAGGGGGTGGCTAGGTTGAGGAGCATCCGAATCCACGAGCAATTCCTGGACAGTGTCCATGTGGAGACAGCTGAGGTAACTGTCCTAGTACACAGGACTGCTGACACACCACTGGTGGAGGAGGAGATGGCTCAGGGTGGACACTGGCAGCAGGTTTCTTCTGGCAGCAGGCAGTGCTCCACCCCTGCTCCGAACCCTCCCACCGTGGTAATAGGAAACTGTTATACTCTTCTTGATACAGGAGAGAAGGAATCACACCCTACAATAGAGGAGGAGAAGCCTCATACCCCTAGGGCTGGGAGGTCTGCTGCCACCACTGCGAATAGGAAATGTAGGGTAGT